CAACCCCCCGTATCCTCATCTGCTAACTATGAATCTTCCTCACCTCACCCGACTTTCGAAAAGACCTCCTTCACCACCACTTAAACGGGGAAAAAAGTCAGCATAGGCGCATAGCCTAGGTCTTGGGAGCATCTAGAAAATCATGGATCATTTTTAAATAATTTTATCTGTTGCAGCCTCAACGTTCTCCAATCCCCCCCTATCCTCATCTGCTAACTAGGAATCTTCCTCACCTCATCCGACTTTCAAAAAAACCTCCTTCACCACCACTTAAACGGGAAAAAAATTTGATAGGCGCATCTTGAAAATTATGGACCATTTATAAATGATTTTATCAGTTACAGCCTCAACATCCTCCAATCCCCCCTTGTCCTCTACTAACTATGAATCTTCCTCACCTCATCCGACTTTCAAAAAAACCTCGTCCACCACCACTTAAAACGGAAGAAAAAAAAATCTGCATAGGCGCATAGCGGCACCTAATGCTTTCTATAATATTGACATTTCATACTCCCTATAAAAGTACGACTTCGGAAAAATCTTTTCATGATCAATATTACCCTTAATTTTTATAAATATTACATTATTATCATAATCTATTTTAATTATCCTATCTTATCTGAAATGACAAGTAAATAATTTATCCTATTTATAATGATATTTAACATGTTATTTGATAAAGGAGATACATTTGATATAATTCAAATCCTTTAATTATTTCAGTTCACAAAAAAATCTAAAAAAAAATATGCTAGCTAGCAATTAAAATTTTTTGGACTTTGTAAAAAATATCCTCTAAGTTTTTGAAATTGCAAAAACACCCCTACAAATTAAAAATTTTATTAAAATACTTTGAAAATTATATATTTTACTTATTTAAATTTAGTGAAAAATCTGAAAAATATATCCTAGCTAGAAACTAAAAGTTTTTTTTACTTTGGAGAAAATATCTTGTAAGTTTTAAAAATTGTAAAAACACCACTAAAAATTTAAATTTTGTAAAAAGCACATTAAAATTTTCAAACATATAAACACATTAGAAACCTACAAATAACACAAACCCACCCCAAAATTTTATGTAATTTGCAATAAACACTCTAATTTTTTACAAATTGCAAATTAAAACCCTTAAAATTATAAAATTTATAAAAATACTGATAGTTTCCAACCTAACAGTACATTAAAAATATAAGAATTGCAAATATCCTATATATAATTTATAATTTATAGAAAATACCCTTAAAGTTTCAAAAATTACAAACAAAAACTCAAAATTTAAATTTTACAAAAAAACACCCTTAGAATTGCAAACTCATTAGTAAATTGAAAACAAATTATTTATAAATAGTCTATAAATAATTTACAATATATAGAAATGGCCTATAAGTTTAAAAAATTTTAAAACCCCCTAAAATTCATAATTTAAAAAAAAAACACCACGAGAATTTCTAACCTATAGACACTAAAATGAATATACAAACTTACTAACAACCCCTAGAAAATTAAAATTTTACAAAAAAATATCATATCATACTCCCTTTAAAAGTATAGGTTTCGGAAATACTTTTCATGGTCAATGTTAGCCATAACCTTTTTAAAAAGAACATAACTAATTGAAAATCTATTAAATTTAAAATTTATAAAAAACACCCTTAAAATTTAGTGCATTGCAAATTACTCCTCCAAAGTTTAAAATTTTTCAATAATTTTTTGCAATTCATTGATTTCAATGTAATGTTTAATAGTTTTGTATATTTGTAAATTACAAATTTTAGGGTGTTTTTTTTACAATTTTTAAAACTTTGAAGGTGTTTCTTTTGTAGTTTTCTAAATATTCATCGTGTTTTCAATGTAATGCATAGATTTATCAATTAATAATGATAATGAAGAGTAAGACGTTCTTAAGATGTATTAGGCCATAGTTAAGTGCACATCACTCTTTTTAAACAGTAAAATTCATATATGCAAATATTTTCAAACAATCTATATAATAGTTATAAATATTTTGACTTTAATGTACTATTTTTTATAAATTATATTTAATGTGAACACACCATATAATTTTGACTGTGGTCATCATAATTTTAATATGTTTGATTGATTGACTAAATAGTTATATAGACCATAAATTACTTTACTTTCTCACATGAACTAATATTTCGCGCTTAATAATTTAAATTATTACTTTTAAATTTAATATTAAGAGAAGCTCTAATAACATTTATTTATTTACCTGCAAGATTATATAATCTCAATTCTTATTTTTTGCTTAAGATTTATTCCATAATTACGTGTATCAAATTAGTAACTACAACGTAAAGTTAACCAATTTTGTGGAGCCCAACTACTAGCTACAAGCATCGAGGTTTCCACACATACAAACACACATATAGAGAGAGAGAGAGAGACGAGAAATTGATCTGGTAACCAAGCATACCGCATTCCTTCTCTCTCTCTATATATATATATATACTATATATATAGTATATAATTTTATTAACAGGATCCTATAATCTTCTATAATAAAATTAATTTAATATTAAATAGTAGTATCGTTGTAATAATATTGTTATTAGGAAAAATTCTTCATGAGCTAGTTTGTTCTTTACAATATATAGGCTATGCCCTCTAAATTCTTGTGTGTTTTACAGAGCCAAAAAGTTTGAATACAAACCTCTAATATTTTGCTCTTGCAACAGCAAAATCCACTTACATATGTGGATATTCCAAATGAGATATATGTCCTATATACAATACAATTGACCTAAGCAAGTAAGTTATAATAGCATTTTTTATTTTACATCATTTGGAAAAAGATATGATAGGGATCTTGCATCAAAGAAAAAAGAAATTTTTATATTTATAGCACATAAGGAAATATATCATAATCTCTCTGCTCTAATTTCCTAAGAAAATAAGTTTTTATACTTTTAATTTTATTTCTATGATACAAAAAATAATAAACCATACCTTAATGATATTATTTTTTGTAATATTTTTCAAAGGATAAAAGTTAATCAATTCTTTAAGTACAAGTGCTGCTCCTCAACTGCTTCTTTGTAATATTTTTAAGGTGTTTGTAATTTACAGTTTTACTTCAGTTTGGTAAAAGTTTATTAAAGTTTTACTTCTATCAATCCCACAAAAAACTTTGTTTTCTTTTTTATTTTTATTCTATTTTTATTAATTTAAATAATTATGATGTTCAACCACGTGCATTGCACGTGCATTTCAACTAGTATTATCAATTATTATAACTAAAAAAATACAGAAAAACCGCCTAAGCCCTGCATAAGCTCTATGCAGGGGGTGCAGCGACTATGCCGCCTAGCGCTTTTTATAAGCTTGATCAAGATGTTCTTTTGTTCTGTGAGGATGGTACATACGTGTAAAAACATATTACATATTTCTAGGGACCATGCTCATCAGACGAGCTCTCAAAGAAAACTCTAGTGTCCAAAAACTAGGGGAACGTTTGGCAACCGTGGTGTTTTTGTCGTTTCTGTTTTTTTTTCAACAAAAACAAAGAAACGCGTTTGGCAACCGGGACGTTTTTTTTTACTTGTCCCTTTACAAAATCTAAAAATTAAACAATTTTCTCAAAACACTAAAAAAGTGTTTTAATATTCCGTTTTTTTATCTCAGCCGCCACAGCCCGCTCACCGCCGCTTCGCCGGCTCGCCGCAACCTGCGTGGCGCCGCCGCCGCGCCTCGGCCCGCGCGCCCCACCGCCCGCCCATCGTCCGGCCGCCGCCGCTGCGCCCCGCCACCCGTGGTCGGCCGCCCGCCGCACCACCGCCCGTCGCCCCACCCCGTCAGCCGCCACCAACCACCCTTCACCCGCTCCCGCCACCACCGCCGCGCGGGGGGGGGCGGTGGGGGTGGGGGGACCGCCGCCCACCATTGGCCACCAGTCGGTCGTCGCCACGTGGCCAGCCAGTCAGCCACGCCGCACCCGCTGAACCACCCTCCACCTGTCTGATCGCTGCCTGCCCATCGGCCCGCCACGTTCGTCTGTTCGGCGAGCCACCGGCCACCCGCTGTCGCAACCGCCGCACCCGACACCAGTCGGCGGCATCATCGCCCGCCGCGCGCCTGCCACTCGCCGCTACCGCCGTAGCGACAGTAGTCATTCGCCGGCCGCAGCGCTGCCACCCACCACCGACCGTAGACGCCACCACCCGCCCACTGCCGCTATATAAATGGTCAAGCTAATTTGACCAAAATGGTGTTTTTAAAACACATTTGAAAAAGAAACACCATGGCATTATGTTTTTTACAAAAACATGACAAAAACACATTGATTACCAAGCACACCCTAAAATTCAGGTTCCTAAATTTGACATTCTGTCATCCCTAAATTCAACCTCCTCCAACCAATTTCGTCAGTGAAGTGATCCTTATTTATTCACCTACAAACCTACTGGCCTAGTTGGTAGGTTGGGCCAGCAGGTACCCGCACGAATCACATCGAGTCAAGCTCAGCCAAGAAAGTTAGGTCAATCTCTTAAGATTGGTAGACTTCAGTTTCCCATCTAAGTGGCTTGGGTTGGACCCATGAAAATCGATTTTGGCACGCCAACCACAGTGAAACAAACAGTGACCTGATTGCTGTCATGTCCATGCTGAGCTTCAGCCAGCAACCAAACATTAGAAGTTTTCAGGGGTCATAGTCTCATAGAAAAATAAAATACAGAGAACCTAGAAATTTAACAATACGCTTGTTAATGAAAAGACATAACTACCCAAGAGACACCATCCCCTTCAGTGTAATACAAAGGGTAACTAAACAATGCTTTATAAAATCTGAAGATATTGCAGTCGGTATCAAGACGAGTTACCACATCCTAAACCTCAGGCGCTCATCACAACAAGAACCCTCGACGACAAGAGCGTTTTCCTCTTATTTGACCACCTATCGTTCTCACTCAGAACCACTCCCTAAGCTTTTTTCCCCCCCACTTGACCTTCACTCATACTGCATTTCAGCCAAAAATATCTTAATCACTCAAAGAAAAACAAGAAGATTTCACCAAGAAGACAGCATAAATTGGGTCAGTTACTTGTCCCAGAAAACCTCTCGAGTTTCTAATGCATATCAGAGTAATTTTTATAATCAAAAAACATACTAGATGACAGGTGGCATTCATATGTAACTTTTAACTGTTTGAGGCGCATAAAAATAATGGTCAAGAGTTGGGTGACAAGATTTAAAAGAAGGCCTAATAAAAGCATAAGAACCTGCCATTACTACAGTGTACAGCTTTCCTTTTGTTGAAACAATAGATGTCTCCTTCTGCTCTGACTTCAGGACCAACTGCAACAGTAAACAGAAATTGAAGCATATAAAACAATCAGCTCTTTGTCAAGACTGTCAAATTCATGCAAGCAGACATAAACTGATAAAAAAGTTAGATGTGTACAATTTGATGAGAATCTGTGTCAATAATTTTTTGCACTTACATAAAGCTTGCATACAACTATTGTAGGGAGCATTGATTATAACACAAGTACATTTCCTGTTAAAAGTTTCTCATCTTTTGGTTTGTTTGGACCAATATGCAAAGTTTGGAGGGGCATAGTACACAGAAATCAAGCAGGGAATCAAAATGGCACATCAATAGAAAATAATGAAAAGTCCAGCAGAAGTTAACCGGCCCAAGTCCACGAGAAATAATGTGCTTGTAAGATTATCAGTTTTACTTGTGCCACCCTAAATATATGAACCGGTTACGACGAGACTCGACTCAGAGAAGAGGAAAGGCTAAAAGCTCAATTTGAGCAAGGTTTCAACTTTAATTTAGCATCGATCCAGAAGTTGATCAGAACATCCACTTAGTGATTACAAGTAAGAATAAATAGAGCATGATTAGAAGAAGGCATAACATCAAATCCAAAATAAACAAAATGTGTGATTACATAAACACGCAACCTGTATCCGTGAAATCTCCTATAAAAGGGGCAAACTTCACTCCACCTACTGAACAATCTTATTCAAGTCCTTCACAGTCTAGCTGACAATTTTATACTAATACTGTGTTTTTGCAGATTTATTGGGCAAGCATATGACAACAAAACGTTTTAGATTATAACACTTTTCATACTCTTCCTAATCGGGCTCAACCATATTCTAAGTTGAGTCAATGCTACAGGGCATAACCAACTCAGTAGGAAAATTTTCACACCAGAGCATTTCTTCCTCCCATTTGTATCGCTTGACCTAACAGCTACTCTGCAGGTTCATTCCCTAATCCGTAGGTGTCATAAATAATTGACAACCGTTTTAGTTTGACATATTGGAACCTTTGTTACTAAGCTCAATTGACAAAGTATACAAAAGACACCTTACACAGAAATCCTACGTAAGGTGCTGCTCTCCTATTTTTCTAGGAGCCAACTGTCCTAGTTGCAAATAATTGAGCCATGCTAGCTGCACTACAAGTTGAAATAACAGAGAAATGTCTATCAAATAAACGAAGATGATTATGAACAAGTTCATTGGCTCGTTTCACCTATATTTCTATGAAATTGTTAATTCATTTCCAAATGTTGATTGTACGTAATTGCTTCATACGGCATACAACAAATAGCTTTTTTTTTTGAAGGAGCTCTCAGAAGGAAAGCAGTACGGAAGTAACCACGAAATCATACGGCGTACAACGCTTAGCTTACTTATTAGTAATACGTATTTATTTTGAGACAGCCAAGACTATTACAAATCCAACTTATATTCAGCAAGTCCATACAGTTTTACCCAGAAGGTGAGGGCCCTGAATCAGGCCGCATGTTCAGGAACAAAGAGGTTCAAGCACACAAAGCTAACTAAAATTGCAGAAAGATAGATCCAGTTGGTTGTTTTTATGAAGATAGAGAAAAAAGAAAAAAACGGATACACCTTTTCGGTTCATATCCAAGTAAAAGTTACAAACCTTTTCTTAGAAGTAAAATATGGTTTCATTAGATGATTTGAAGGAGCATAATCACCATAACCATGTGGAACAAAAAATAGATTTCCTAAGGATGTCAAAACAAGCAATTTCAGGGTGATGATCAAAGAAACTTCATCTATGGTGGATCCCAAACTAGAATTGTCAAAAGACCGAGGAAATTGTCCATACAGCATGTACAGAAAACTTGTATTCAAGAGAGCATGCAATAAATATTATACCAGCAGCTCCTGGCAACCTCCATGAATTGTGAGTAAAATGGAGTCGTGCATGCGACCTAATATCTTCAAACGATTACAAGCTAATTGGCAAATCCCCAACTATACGAAGTCCTCGATCTACAACGCTTGGTTAAAAAAATTGCCTCTCTGATGGTTCAAAAATTTTAATTAAAAGTCTTCGAGGTGAAACTTTATGCTTGTTATTCTTAAACAAAATTGTGAAAGAAACAAATTCCAAAACTATTACCTGCAAATGATGGATAGAGTGTTGGAAAAAGTTACTAACCATAAAAAGTAATGCAAAGGTTGGTCATGTCGCTCATTTGCACTTCTTTTAAAATTTACCAATGCTCAAGAAGATCCACAATATTTTCCATTTTCAAATATTGCAACTAAACCAAACAAAAGGCAGCAGAGATAACCTTTTTTTTGTGTATGTTTGTTCGGCCATTCTCTTCTTCCTTATCTGGTTGGGAGGGAGGGAGGAGGGGACATCTTGATGGCTACATGTTTTCTAGGATAAATCAATGGAGTGCTCATTTGCTCAAGTTTATATTTGGTTATTTGATTCAGGAATCAGATTCCAAATGACTGGGTGAGATGATATTGTCGTTTTTTTAAAATGATTTTGTGGTCTTGTTGTATAGTTTATGTATTTCTTGGGTTTAAACTCTTAACCCTCACTTCATAATGGAGTTCTGGGTCATAATGGTTTGACATGATGTTGTGGCTTTATTATAAATAAGGGAAAGAAAATGAAACTGAATTTTTTAAAATAAAGAAAGGCAATAAACTCTGTAACCGTTGACTTAAATCAATGAAACTGAATATGTAGTAATTGTAGATGTTTGCTTTCTGGAACAGAAAGTAGGTATCAATTAAGCACGAAAAGAAATTCATTTCTGCATTGGAGATTAATAGCCAATAGTCCGTTTTGATAAATTATTTCACTGATTTGTATAGTTGCATATGATCCAAAGATCAATTTACTGCACAAAAGATCCAGATACTACATTAAATGAAAAAGAACCAGTCAATATTTGTACATCAACATTTTTTTTAAATAGTATATCCACAGAAGTTGAAAGAACTAAAGAAACAAAACTGTATGTTTAATGCACTTATATTAGAATCATGAAAGCAAGTATCTTCGATGTATGACGACTATCGGCAACAGTTATCAGAAAGTGATATTGTGATATTGCCTCATGAATAAGACTTTTCATGTGATTTTATAAGGTGAGGTACAGTCTTTCCAAGTCTAGTAAATCTGAATTCTTTTTATTACATGATTTCATTTGACATTCCTAGTATCTTATATATTAAAAGTTAACTAATATGTCATTTTAGCTTTTGACGTTTCGAGTTGAATGATATGATCCAACTGTGTAGCCAGGAAAATTTAACAATTCAAAGTCCTGATTTTTGAAAAGGTAGAACCATATGAACTTTGTAGTACTTTCTGGTTCTTTTCCATTCTAAATGATCCCTTCCTAAATGGACAGAAACTCCACAAAACACAGACTAAGTTTACTTTTTGAAGAAATACTACCACTGACTAAGAGCTGAACACCAAAAAATTTAAAGTATTGGCCATTTCTGGCTCCTTCACTGCTAAGAACTAAGGGCCCGTTTGGATAATGGAAGTATTGGAAGTAAGAAGTAAGTTGCGGAAGTAACTTTCAAAACTATGAAATAGGAAGTAGCGGAAATAGCATTTTTTTTGTTTGTTTCACATATTTTTAGAAGTAATGGAAGTAGAACTTCTTCCTCTTCATTTACTTTTTTTTGTTTGGATAATATTTGGAAATATTACTATGAAGTAATTAATACATGTTGCTTCCATTTTATTCTTGTTTGGATTGTCATTGAAATAGAAATAGAAGTATTATAACACACAGTATTCTTGCTGCAATGATATTGAAACATAATTGATTGCTTGCTGCCGCAATTGTCGGAGACTCACAGTACAATTTTGCTACTATATATGGCAAAATTTGATAATGAAATATGATTTTTCTAACGGGTGCCTATAGGCACTTACTAGAGGATGATTATCTATCAGATTTTGCAAGCTTTATACTTTCTTTTAAAGCATCACATATATTTCTACTATACATGTATCATACTGTTTTCTTCTTATTGTTGTCTTTATTTCTAATTTACGAATTTCCATTAAAAACAATATTTCCAATTTATGACGGGAAAAAAATCTTTTATATATGTCACATGTTCAACAGAAAAGTATGCCGTTCATCAATTTCAATAACAATATTTTGTATATCTACGAAAGCAAAAAATGCATGAACGGCATTCATCAATTTTAATAATAATATTTTTTATATCTACGAAAGCAAAAAAGGCATGAACGGCATCACTGTCATAAATTTTTTAAAATATTTATAAAAAAGATTTTATGATTACATATCAACTTCCGCCGTAATTATGATTTTGAGAATCTTTTTTCTTTCGTGGACCCCATCCTACATCAACTTCCGTCGTATTTCAGTGCATTTGAAGACGGAAAAATATCAAGGAAATAGAGGTGCCACGTAGACGTCACGTCAGCTTTCAATGAAGTAGCGGAAGTAGTTTTTATAAAGAAACAAACATACATTTTTACCAAGAAGTAGCAGAAGTAGCCTCTACTTCCTCTACTTCTGCTATTTCATAGTTACTTCTGTGCAAACAAACGGGCCCTAAGAGACTATTACCCTAGTTCCATATATATAACTGTGTTCTATAGATTTTACTAGTAGAGTATCTATGGTTACTCAATATATCATTAAAAAATATATCGATCTCTGCTGGAATATATTAAGAAACCATTTATTGTAATTCAATGTATAAGGTATAAGGATATTTCAGAGGGTGTCATGCAACAATCTTACTAATCAAACAGAATGCTGCTTACTTGCCGGAAAGAGCAAATTTCTGTTAAAGAGTATTCTCTGGAAGTTCTAAGTACGGATGATTATAATAAAAATAATCTGGAATCACAGACACTATCGTTTTATTAGCTGCACCCAGAATGCAACACGTTCAATCAACAATGCGCACACAGGAGGCCAATCTGAAGAGTGACAATTCTTATTAAAAGCAATACTAATTAACCATTGTCTTCAGCTTTAGTGAGGAGGTCTCTACAAATTCTACAGCATAGAATGTATTCAGCTCCAATAGTCAAAAACTGGCTTCCCAGGTATATGAGTAGACCGTAACTGAGGAAACGAGAACATAAGGGGACTGGTCTCTGCTATACTCATATCCTAAATATCAAGAGCTAGCATTACGATGCAAAAGCACATGAATATCAACTAATATATACGATAGGATGAGGATACGTACATTTAATATTTGCATACAATAGGAAATTTGGTATGGATATGAATGTCTTTTTAAATTTTTCGTAGGATGTGGATAGAGATATAAGTAAAAGATCCTGATTTGTATCAGGATATGTATCAATCAAACGGATGAAATTATTTTGGACTTAGATTTGTGATCTTATGCCCAACTTCGGTGATTCGAAGACGAAACTTACCTTCTTAGATATTAAACATATTGATGGAGTCTAATTTGAGAAATTTTTATGCATTTAAACTATTGTATCAAACGAAACGACATACATATTTTCAATTTTATCCATTTCCCTTATATTTGCTTTGTATCCATATATGATTTCCTTTCATTTGATCTGTTTCAGCAGATATATAATATGGGGTTTCCTAACAAAACTATGGCCATATTCATAACTATCATTTATATTTGTAATTGCTAACCAGAGACACACAAGGTAAGTACCATATTCAATCCATATCCGCTGTGTTTGCACCAGCAGCAGCATGAATATTTAACCATTTAAATTGTCGAAACTACTAAAAACATAAAAAAAATAGCTGCAGAATTAACACCGCTGAGCATGACAAGGTATGCACTGACCATGTACTGCTTTTTTAAAGAAGGAATTCTCACCAACATTTTGTTATTGTTATGCGTGCCTCTCATAGGATCCGAAAATGGCAGCTGCAGAAAACACAAAGGCCTCATCAAATTCAGAAAGCGGACAGCAGTGGAACTTTCAAATATAACAAATTCTCCATAATGGTACCATATGAAAGAAATAATTGCTAGAAAGCTTGAAAAGAAAAGGCAAGATGTATATAATAGAAAGTGTTCTTAAATATCTGTGCCTAACCAAATCAATTTAGCAGTAGAATGTTTGGACATTCTACCACTTTCCTCTATCTTACGAGTCCCACAATGTTTGTATTACCTCCTGATGAATCCTATGTATCTGATAATCTGCTTTGTGAACCCTTATCTTCCATTCAATTAAAAAAAAGTTCTATGTGATGCTAAGGGCGCATTTCTAAACCTAAAATATCAATTAATTTTACTTCCCTAATCATTAGAGAATATTAATTCCAACAGTGAGCTTGTAAGCAAATACTCTAGAGGATTTTTTTGTCAAGTTGACTTTGGCTAAAAAAATTATATTGTGGAGAAAATGACAATTAGCTTGTGCAATACAAGGCAGACACGGATTTTACGGACTACACATTTTTTGAAAGGAAGATATTTTTTTCTAGGGGCATCTCAGACAATAGATGTTAAGCATCTGACAATACTTCTGAAGCATATGAAGGGAAGGAATATGGTATCATACCCCAGTAAACCACGACCATGCCACTGCCTTGGTGTTATAGTCAGATTCATCTGTGATCCCTCTCTCATGATGATAATCGGAATTGGATGACCTTCATTTGACCTTGCTTCCGAAGCAAGCCTATGAACCACTTCATCACCCATTTCAACGTTTCCAAACTTAATGATCTGGTCACCTAATTGCAGTCCATCTTCTGCTGCTGGAGAATCATCAGTTATCTCGTCTACCATAGCAAATGGAATCTTTACGACTAGGTCCTCATGCATAGGGGAAACTTGAGATGTAGCAGTATGTGGAGAAGCAGATACATCTGAAATGGCCATATTAATCAATGAGAAAACCTAGCAGAACAGGCAACATTGTTCTGTTATGAATTTAATTGGAAAAAAAACATCCACCTTCATAGGAGTTATCATCAACTAGAGCACACACACTACAAAAAATAACCACATCTTTATGCAGGATGGAATATGCAGCAGACCAACTTCAAATTAAGGTGATCAGGTGTCTTAATAAAAACAGAAAAACATGGTAGTAAAAAATTAGTTTTAAGTACACTGCAAAACTGCAGATAAGTAGAGGTAAGAAATGCCATTTGATTCGAAACAAAAATAGGTGCAGTTATCATTGACAGTCTCATAGGCATGCATGAACACCAATTATTTGATATTATATGGATCAGGGCAGCAACTTACTATGACTATTCTATTATGTGGCATTTACTATATGACATACCTGAGCTTTCCATGCTTAATGGCAAACCTTTGGTTAATCTTGCTGAGTGCAACACTTGTAAATTTTCATCTATTTTTGCGGTCAGAACCTTGTAATCATTGTGGAGTGCTGCAATTATAGAGAAAAGTTGAATGAGCAACAGATGAAAACAACAAATTTATTTATTTCAAACCACAAAAAGAATCACATAGTTGTAGGAAACAAATAAGAACTAAAAAAAAGATTGATCCTTGATTTTTTTTTCTTTTTTAAAAAGAATTTAATGTCATTTGTACATATAAAATTTGGCACAACCAAATATAGCAATATATGGAGAATAATGTTATCAAGTTCACAGACAAGACAATTTGGCAGGAATTTACCATTGCCATGAACGACAGAAGTGTCATACACATGCTTGAGTAATGCTACGCAATAAGTAATAAGAAATGTAAAGCAATTTATAATTGTATAAAGAAACTTATGAGATCTCGATATTAGTCAAGGTTTGCCTTTATTACCATTGCTATCAAGAATCTTGACAGTTTCAATGTTTCACATTTGAATTGTTGTTAAATGAAATAAGTTAGTCAGGTCACAAGCTTTATATAAATTGGTTTCTTTTCTTCTCCAATTTAACACTAGCAAACCAACATTTGGTACTTCAAACATTATATTATTTTACTGTATTGTTACTAGCCAATAGTGGCATATTAACCATATTAGTGATTATCAGCAGTATCAGCCAGTTTAAGTTCGAACTAATCTGCATGCCCAAAATCTAACCCCATGTGGCTGGTTCATATCAATATGAACCAATACTTAAAACATTAACATGTAGAAAGCTTAAGATGACTCAGAAAAAACTTCAAAGCTAAAGGTAACAAACAAGATAAAGTACAAGGTCAACAAATGCTGCAATTATCGTATTTTGAAGTCTATAGAGTTTTCTAATTTTCAAGCTTGGCAATAACTAAGCAAGCAGATACTTTTAGATTTACTATTCCTTCCTCGTCCTAAAGATTTTTATGCCTCAGTTAACACCAATGAAGATCAGCTCAAGCTGCAGCATTTGTTGTCTAGGATAATTTAGCTCGTTGCTGAATGATATGATTACTAGAATGGTTTCAAGCCCACCTAACCCCAATTGCAGCACAACAATCATGCAGTAGAAAGCATAGCATTAGAGTCTTAATGAGCCTCACCTTTTTCAAGTCCAAAAAGAATAATGCATGCAACATGTGAGGACTAAGGAGTCACAGACAAGTACTGAGGCTCTTATTTTGGCTAGTATATCTTTGTTTGTCAGTCTCACCCCATGAGTAAACCTCCTGCGGTTACGCAAAGTGGTACAATGATGTTAACATCTACTTTCCAAATCACCACTTTTGGAGGGTAGGAGATCTCAAGAGGTTGTTGTGATGTTGAGGCCGTGAAGCCAGGATAAGCGTATGTGCATGGACAGGAATAAGGCAAGTAGCAACAGAGGTGGAGCAGCGTAAAGTGTGAGAAAAATTAGAAAAGTGTAAAGTTGTAGTAACCAACTCTGCAAGAAATTTCCACAAAGGTGCTCCTGATATTATAAATAACTACAAATAGGAGTCAACAAAGATCATTTATCCTACATACAGCTCAATTTCAATCAGATAATACAGAGAAAAGACCATATTAACGATTTTTAGTAGAAGTATGACAAGAGCCTCATGAAGGTATAGATGAAACAATGAACTAGTTGATGGCTCTTATGAATAAATCACCAGTCCACTCACTTTCTAGAATGAATACTCCTGTATAAATAATTTGTCATTAAAGGCATTCAAGAAGAAATGGACTATCCATACAAGTAAATCGTTACGTTCAATATCTTTTCTCAGCCACATACCGATCCCCAATACCCAACCCTCACCTCATTTGATCAAAAAACTTTCTAGGACTTGCAAGAAACCGACATAAAGTCCACTCTCGTTCTTGAGGGAGGGCCAAATTCCTCGATGATATCAAAAGCTACTTGATTTCAAGAATTGCTCTTCCATCCCCAGCATATTCTTTTCAAGAACATAACAATGTCCAACTAGACAAAAATCCTCTATTGAGTCCAAACTCCATCATGAGAAGCATTCACCTTAAACTACCAACTCAGGTAGCAAACAACAAAGCTATTGTAGGAAACTCGTTTAGTTTACTCATTGCTTCTTAATGTTCCCGTCGATTTGCTTCGACCTATCACCTAAATGAAAAAGCTTTCCGTGGCTACTCGCCAATCTCACAAACAAAGCCCTACTTTACACAAGCCTATGTTTGCAATTAGCTAAGAACAGTCAAATTCGTTGCTTCAAAATTCAAAGTCAGAAAGTTTAGATTAAAATTTAGAGAGATATAAGCACCGGCAAGACGAGATCGCTGAGATCGAACAGAAGGGACGTCGATGTCGGGCCGAGGAAATCCCTGTAAAAGTAATCCACAGACATCAGAAATTCTCGGGTTCAGGGTTTCGATTCTCGCGAAATCGAGGAGCCGAGAAACGAATGTGATTTAAGATGGGAACGACGGCGGGGACGGTGGCGGCGTTAGGGTTTACCTCGGAATCGACGAGATTGCCGGAGATCCCAGGGCCGCCGGGGGCGCAGAGGTGAGCGATGATGGCGTTCATCTCCGATTCGAGAGATGATCTCCTCTCCATCATCGCCATCGTCTCCGCCTTCAGATTCGTCGCCACCATTGTTACTGCTACCTGCTCTCTTTTTCCTCTTCCCTCCTCTGTTGTCGTCTGCTGTATCGGCGACGCGAGTCTTCCGAAAGGTAGAAATTCTTATGTTTCAAGATTTGTGTTTGTTTTTTTTTTTTAATATTTACCCGTCAAATTTTTAAGGAAAAAATGTGTACAGACCCTAAAAACAGAAACTTCATGTGTTGCAGCCTCTCTTAGTTTCCCCCATGTGATTCAGTCCCTTAAAGTATGATACTTTGTACTGCAGTCCCTTTTTAGCAATTATTACATTCCAGCTAAGCTAAAATCCCCAAAATAACCTTATCACATCTCTTCAATCCCTCAAACCTGTTGACCTTCTTGTTTTGATGATGTTTAACAAACAATTTACCACTAATGTTGTTTGTCTAGTATTTGTGTTTTCTTATTTATTGTAGACAAACAACAAGTTGGATGATGGATTAATAGAGCTTCAACGATCATATCCAAAGGAGGTTGGCGGAATGTCGATGAAGCTATGCAAATTCAAGTTGAAGATCCAAGTTCAAGCTTCATCCGCAAGATTACCAAGTTGAGCTACAATGAAGATCAAGATCAAGCTTGGGTAATCTAGTTTAGATTTTATATTATGTGTGTTAGATACTCTAAGCTCAATATCATATACACACACATTTATCGGTTTCTTCGTATATATATATGTATATATATATATACATAAGTTTTGGTTTCTATGCATATATATAGTTATATATATACATACATGTGTTTTTGAGTTTTCATGTTTATAAATATGAAATCACATGTTTCATATTTACCATTGTGTTTTTCAAAACATTGCATAGAATATGCAATTTTGTGAAAATATTGTATTCGTAGTTTGTAGACTTGAACATCAGTTTATACATGTTTTACTAAGTCTATAAAAACATTTCACAAAGTTTCAAAAGTTGGTTTATGTCAAAACATCAAAATTCAAGTATCTCATATTTTCATGTTTTGGACTAGTTTGTAAAATGATGATATTTTTCATTTGGGAAGTCCTTTTTCGAAACCAGTCATTGTAGCATGTTTATTATCATGTCTACAATCATTCCCCAAAGTTTTACATTTTTTGGAATTTATTTGATATTTTTAAACAGGGTTTTAAAATCAGAAATTTTTAACAATTTTCCAAAAGTCAAAAATCTGTTTAAAACTGTTTTTCTGAAGTATCAGTTATCGGTCGACCGATCCGGTCGACCGATCATTTGTTCTTTCGTCACCATGCAGCAGAGAGTTTGTCGGTCGACCGGTCCGGTCGACCGAGAGCTCCATCGGTCGACCGCAGGAATTTCCGGTCGACCGACAATAGATCCGTTGCTTTCCCAACGGCTATTTCCTGAGCTGATTTGATGGGGTTGTTTCTGTCTTTTGCTTGGGGTTTTTGTTGAGATCTTGAGTGGGTATAAATACCCCATTGCTGATCTCGGTTTTTGTTGAGATCTTGAGTGGGTATAAATACCCCATTGCTGATCTCTTTTTACTAAGCTAAGAAGTGTTTTTAAAACAAAGTTTTTAAACAAGGGTTTAGGGTTTTACTGTTTGTTTAAGATTGGGTTTCTGTTTACAAAAGAGGAAGTTCTCAATGCAGATTGAGGGATTCATTCTCAATCCTCTTCATCCTCTTCTTCGTATTTATAGAGAAGTTTTCTAACTCTTTTCTCTAGCAATTTCATTATTGATTTTCATATTCTTATTATTGCTAGTTTGCTATTTGAGTTAGATTTTATTATATCTCATTGTTACACACACTCACTTGAGCTTATTGTATTTGCATACATAGTATATTAGGGTTGTGAGAGATTGTAACATTGAGTTGTGCTTAATTGAGTTCTTCATCTATTGTAGAGAACAAATTTATATTTGTTACATTGTGAGTGTTGTAAGGTATTCGGTGAGCTAGAAAACCGAGTGTGTTGTGAAGTTTTCGGTGAACTAGAAAACCGAATGTGAGGAGTGAACGTTGATCGGTGAGCGTTAAAAACCGATACTGTGAGGTGTAAACGTTATTCGGGTGAACGTAGAAAACCCGGTTGTGATAGTGGATTTCTCCCCGGGAGTGGGGAGCGGAGATGTAGGACGGAAGGTCCGAACTCCGTGATCATATCGTGTGTTTGAGTTTGTCATTGGCGCATTTGCTTTTGCGCTTATCTTATATCGCCAATTGTGCATTGCTCATTTATTTCATCCACTATCTAGTTCATTTTGTTTACCCTTGTGTTGTTTATATATCCTTGCATATATCTCATAGTATATCTTGTTGTTCATATTGCTTATCCTAGCTCATATACATTGTTGTATTTCATATTTGCTAGGATAACTTGTTAATATATTTTAATTAGCATTAGATTAGCATAAGACCCTAATCACCCCCTCTCTAGGGTCTAACAATTGGTATCAGAGCTTGGTGCTCTTTGATTTAAGGTCTAATCGCCTTGAGTTAAAGATCCAAGTTATCTTTTTGTTCTAATCTTGTTTTGATTTTATTTGTATCTTGCTTGCATATATTTTCTTATTATGGACATACATTATGCATCTTGTTTAGGCTATGATCCTATTGTTGCTCCTAAAATAGATAATCTCTCATATGACCAATGGTGTTCTAGATTTAACATATTTGTTAGATCTAAACAATTCGATTTATAGGAAGTTATTGAAGATGCTTATATTATACCCACTTCGGAAAAATCCAAGTGGAGTAACAATGATAAAAGAATGTTTAATATGAACAAGCTTTTGTTAGAATATTTGCTTAATGCCTTTGACTCATCCTTTTCTAACAAATTTGTTCATTTTGATAGTGCTTACAATTTATGGAAATTCATAAAAGCACATCAAGGCAACTCGGAGGAAATCCGACGTAGTTTGGAGGATTATTCTTCAAGTGAGTGTGGAGCATCATCATGCACACGACCACTAGGCGATAGCCCTAGTGTGGTAAGCGATTCGGAATCCGATAGTGATATATCCATCAATGAACTCGCTTGTGCATATGATAGATTAATGCATGCATATACTAAGTTGCATAATAATTTTATAGATTTGAAAAGCAAGCATGTTAATTTGAAATCCGATCATGAGTTGCTAGGTTCTAAACTTGATGTCATTGCAAAAGAAAATATTATGCTTAAAGAAAACAATGATATGTTAAATTTGGAAAATAAAAAATTAACCCCATCCATCACTAGCTTATCTCATGTTAAAAATAATGCCATGTTAGAAGTAGAAAACATACAAAATGGTACTGCTTCTTTTATAAATAATCATACATGTTCTACTTCTAATAACAATACTTGTATGCATAATGATGAGTTGAATCATGTTAAGGATCACATATCATCTTTAGATTCAACCCTTAAAACATGTATTGTTAATCATGATAAGCTTATGGACTTGGGTGCAAAGTCTAGTACTACACTAAACATCCTATTCATCATGCACACATGTATAGCAAAGTCTACAAATGCACAAATTGCGGTCGTAAAGGCCATCTTGCTAGATTTTGCTATGATGCACATAACCCCACTAAGATTCACTTTAATCCTCCTTGTGCATCTCATCAAGCTTTATCATCACATTTTGCACACACACATGCACACATTGCTAATCATAAACATGCACGTGTGTATAAATGTGATCTATGTGGTCGGCTTGGCCATTTGGCAAAGTTTTGCTTTGACATGAAAAAGAATTCTAGTTTGCCAAATGTTTTTCATAGACCACATGTGCTTAAGTGTGATATTTGTGGTAGATTTGGCCATTTGGCAAAGTTTTGTTATGATTTGAAAAAATATTCAAACTTGCCAAATTTCTCAAGTAGACCACCTTTGTTTAATGATGTTTCTCATTTGCAAAATAATTTTAAGAGACAATCTTCATTTGCAAATGATTTCCGTGCACGAGCTAAAGGTTCACAAAAACAAATGGATCTCTTTCATTGCACAAATTACAATCGAAAGGGTCATTTGAATGAATATTGTTTTGACCGTGTTAGTGCATCACATGTGCCCAAGAGGGTTCATAACCCTAGGGCTTTGAGCTTTAATGATAGGGGTCATGTCCCTAAACCTTTTGGTACCAAAATTACTTGGGTACCAAAATAAATTTGATTTTAAACCAAGAATTTTAGTATTTTTATTTTTCTTTGTCTTGGTTTTGAAAATTATGTTTTAAGATCTTTTGGTTATGAAAACAATTTTTCTTTTCTTTTCTTTTCATGATTATTAGTTTTGATTTTGATGAGAGGTTTATATTTATATAACCCTCCGGATTTATTGGGTGTTTATTCCCAAATCATGTTTACCGGATGCTAGAATGATTATATGGGTTGAAACAAGCTTAAGAGCTTGATATATTATTGCCTCTCTTGAAATTCTTTTGTCAAAGATTTTGTTTTGACTTGTTGCTTTGAATTCATTATATTTCACTTATATGATGATATTTATGTGTTTGTGCTAATGGATCATCTATTCGTGCTTTATAATGTATTCTATGAGTGGTTTGATCAAGTTATATAAAGAAAATTTTTCTTTATTGATCAAACATTGTTTTGAATATAAACTTTGATTTATGATTTCTTTTGGTTGAATTGTTTTCATTTGAAAACTTTTTGCATGATTCTCATGTTCCTCTTCTTTTGATTTCATAAATCTATTCTTTTATATGGTTTTTATAGACACTATTTTTCATATTGATATACTCATATGTGTTCTCATTATCTCTTGAATGTGAGTGATTGTTAGCATATCTTTTATGCTTGCTCACATATTTGCCATGATCTTTATTTTATATTCTCCATATGGCATTTTGATAGGGGGAGCAATCTCTATATCTTTTTTATACTCACCTATGCTTATTGATAGGGGGAGCTTTCGCTCCCTTAATTCTTTTGTTCCCTTTTTGATGTCGTCAAAGGGGGAGAAATATTGTGAGTATATTCCTTCTTGTTTATATGCATGTGAATTATAATTTATATATTCATTTCCTTCATGCATATTTTTTTTTGTAAAATGTTTGTCATCATCAAAAAGGGGGAGATTGTTAACCTTCTTGTTTTGATGATGTTTAACAAACAAT